AATGTAATGGCTCTTCGGTATATATCGATAAGTTGATATCGATATACATCTCTTTCCATACTCCTAAGTGTCCGTTAGGAATTATTTCTTCCCTACATATTTGAAATTTTTAGCGTTAAGATTGAGGAGATTTGGATGCCCAATAGAACCTCAGTCAGACCATTATTAACCCTTTGTTTACGTCTGGTACAATAAGTGGACCAGGATGGCTTCATCATGCTAGGCCTGTAAGCAAAAGGTTAGTTACAAAATGTCTCCATTTTGAATAAATCATCCCTACGTCTATGAAAGGAGACGTTGTTTATTATTTGTGGTTTCGACATATCTCTGGCCTCATTCCCTCCTTCACAATAGCAATGTATAACAATCTAAAGTCCCTACCATTACACCATAATTCTTCTTCCATTAAAACTGCACCCAATGTTATCACAAAACTGGAATAATTTCTACCATTGGGTAGTCTTCTTAGAAAATCTAACTATTGTCCCTTTTTCTTCTTTGTTTGTAAAATATAACCTGTCATGAAATATATTCTCTAAGTTCTGAATTTTATTTTGTCCCTTAAGTACGTGCCCGATGAGTCAAAATTGCCTTATTCTTCAAAGAGCCCTTGATTATACAGAATCTTTAAATAATAATAATGAACTTCCTGAATATTCTGAAATTGTTTTGCCTTCAAATAATTGTTTTCTCGTCGAATTCTTCCCCTCAAACAGGAAAAACCAAAACCAACCATCTGTCTAGACCAAATAATGATGTGAGAAATAAAACTGTCTGTAGAAAGTGGATCTAAACAATCTAGATTCAAAATATATAAAAATAAAAAATATTAAAAAAAAAAAACGCCTGATTGGTGTGTATTACATGCAAAGTTAGTTTCCATATGGAGTTTTTACATTTCTATCATACGAAATATAAACATGGAAGGAAACAAATTGATTTAAAAATAGTGGGTTTTTATCATTTTTATTTCTTTTTGATTAAATTTGTTAATTTCATACTTTATTTAGGATAAAAATATTTCACTGTCTAATGTTACAAAATAGAGCGGGATTTTTCAATCACATATTAAAAATCGAAAGGATTGGGATAAAAATATGACTATGTTTATTTACATTTAAAGCCAAAACTCCCGTTTTAATAAATGCTATAAAACTTAAGCTGGAAAACTTAAACTATTATATTACTAAACTATTTTTAGTGAAAATATTGTGTTTTCCTTCAGATGTATAGTGCGCAAAAAAAAAAACTTTTGATCTAATGAATAGATTTTCACGTACTAGGACTCAATCTTAATGGTTTGAGGAGGTAACCTGTATAATGCTATTTTGCTAATGCAGACCTTTTTAAGTTCACACACAGACACAAAAACGGCACAAAACGGACACAAAAACGTACTTTCTCTAAATAAACATCCTTTTTTGCGACGGATTTGATCCTCATGATATAAGGGGTAGCCGTAATTAGGGAAACATGGTCAAAATAGTTTGATAAGAATACTATAAAAAATTAAATCATTTTTTAATTATAAAACTAAAAATCTTTTAGTGCAAAAACTTTTATTCTGCTTTACGTGCGCATTTTCAAATCTAAATTATTCAAAAGGAATATTATCACTTGATATAGTGGAGCCTAGATAGTCAAAGAAAAAAAATTCTGCTTCCAATAACTATAAACTTTGACTGAAAATAATGATTGTTAAATATATGCTTTTTTCAAAAGCATATATCCATGGAATAGTATATATTACCTATTAATTATTATGTTATTACCTATTGAGTAGCTTGTATTACCTATTTATTAAATTTACTGTCAAAAACTTCAGAAGCATGTTTGATATTCACATATAATTTTTTGATGTTTTTGACGTTTTCATCAGTTTTTGAAGCTTGCCATCTAAGAAACCAAATATTGGTTTCTTTAAATCTGAAATTGATCGAATCTTTGATGGATGTGAGAAAAGCGATTCATTTTGCATGCGCCATCAAGAGAGCAATTAAATTTTTGACTGTTACTGGTTTCAAGCACAGTACTCCTGCCCGAATTCTTGCATTCTAGCTATTCGGAAATCTCTGTAGTTCCCAAGACCTTAATCAGTTCAACTTTATTTATTTTTAGAAAAAAAAAAGTTTGTGGAAAAACTTCCCTTATTTGCATTTCCCTCGAATTGTTTCTAAACCTGTTTGACGCTCCAAACTATGTCAGTAAATGTGAATGGAATATTTCAAAAATATTCTTTTCTGCATTAATCAACGCAGCTTTACTTGCATGCCTAATTTTTTTAAAAATAGTAATAAATTTTACAGTTCTGAATTCAAATTCACAATTCAAATTCCTAATTCTAAATTCAAATCCCCAATTCGAATTTAATTATTCTAAATTCAAAATTCTCAATTCTAAAAAATTACTCAATTTATATGGATATTGCAAAATTATTTATTTATACTATTTATAAGGATATTACAAAATCATTATTACTGCTATTCCTGAAAAAGTGCTTAATTTCCTTTTAAAACATTTAGAAATATCTTTAGTTAAATGGTTTTTTAGTTCCCACTCTCTACAATTGAATATAAAAATAAGTCAACAATGAAAAATTTTCTTTTCAAAAAACTAAACGAAATTGTTAACAATGGTGATGCCCGTTTCAACAATGTTTATAAATAATATCAATTGTTACAATAGTTATGTTCCAAAAAAAAGTATCATTCTTGATTGAACTGCTATTAAAAGAGGTTTGATTAAGCGCTTTGAGATATTTAAAAATGCCTTTTGGTGTGAAAAAGTGGATAAGAAAGCAAATGTAAGTCAACTTATTTCATACATTATCCTTTTTTACAATCTTAATATGAATTACAATCTTATAAATATTGTTACTTTTGCAATTCTACAAGTTCTATGAGTAGTACCTATTATAGTTACCTTAGTACCTATAATAGTTAGCAATGCTTACTCTATAATCGGTACTAAAATGTAATTTATAATAGGTACAATTAAAATTCTGTGATTAGGGTATAGAGTTACATTTATTTTACAACTATACGCAATAAAACATGGTTTAATTTAAATTTGAAAAACTATGCTTGACGATTGCCTGATTAACAGCCCGGAAATAATTAAGTTTACAATCATATTAAATAAATTTATTTTTAATCACATTTTTAATATTTCCTGAATATAGTGATAAAATAACGATGGTTAAGTGTCAAATCACGAGCTCCTTGATTTGGCGACAATTTTCGTCCAATTTCGCAGAAAATCCTTTTCTGGTTACCATTGTATTTGTTGCCGTCTTTAATTTCACGGACGTCACTTTAAGGTTATTGTAACTCTTCTTTTATTTTCATATCTTGGTTTATTTTCAAATCGCCAAATATAAGAGAAGCCCCAGATTGTGAACTATTAGCATCAAAGTTAGAGATTAAGTAAAATGTTTCATAATATATTACTGAACTTTCATCAATTCGGCGATATGTTACTTGATATGCGAAAGAACATAAAATTCGGTACTAATATTCTTCTGTAACATTATATTCAGTACCAGTATCGTAGTGCCATTTGTTTTCGTGCCTCAGTAAGGCACTTTGAATGAAATTTAAGGAAGATAATAGGTTGGTTACATTCCAGACGCAATCTTCTTGATAGATCACCAGGTCAGAATGCCGGGGGTAAAGGGATGACGACCTTAAGTTCGTGCTTACTAGGTTAAACTGTATTATTCAACTAAAATATGAAACCAATCATAATATGGTTCCACATACACCGAGAAATAATTGGGGTTTAAATTACAATAATGATGATGAAGTAAGAATTTTATAATAAGATTTATTTGGACTTTTAAATAAATTCTCAAAAATCGAAGATTTAAAAAAAAATCAGAGTTAAAATTCCTTTATTGATTTAAGATACTCAAAGTAAAAATTCAGAAGCTCAGTATCCAACAACCTTAAAATACAAAAAGTGTTTAATAATTACTTCCCTTATTGTATATTTTCTAAAAGTCAAAAAATATGCAGGGAAAATGAATAAAATGTATTAAAATATATGTATTAAAAATAAATTAAGAATAGGGGGAGAATTAAAGAGAAGAACTAGGAAGAGTTAGATGAATTAATTTCAAAAGAAATAAAAGGAGAGTAGAACAGAAATAAATTGAGAAAAAAGTGGGACTAAAAACATCAAAGCATGTTTCATCACCGAGGGTAACTTGAAGATGTTTCTAATAATTCATATTCACCTCATCAGTCTTTTTGATGGCACTTAGACTTGACTTGATGTTTTTAACCTCCCATTCCTTGATACCGACTTTAATTTCAGTAAAGTTTTTTTCTTCTTTTTCTTCAATTTTCGTCTTCTTATGTCTGTGTATTTTTACTCAGTTATCGACAACAATTCTAAAAATACATGCTAAAGAGAGTGTAATGAAGGATCACCTAGTATTTTTAGATCCTATATCAGTAATGAACACTTTAAGAATCAAAATTTAAAGAAAAATGCCATCGAAATCTAAAAAAATATTTGCGAGAAAAGCAGAACTAAAAGGATACACATCAGCAAAAGTGCAGTAGATTACAGAAAAGACGCTAGGCAACTCTAATCGAAATGCTTTGAAGTAACATTTAAAAAATGAATTTCTGAAACTACTGAGTGAAAACTTTTAACTACTGACTTTAGTTGAAAACTTAAAATTCGGCTCACTAGTTAAATGTTTTCTTAAGATTATTTTCACTCTTTATGCATAATTTTAATTTCGCATAGCAATATCTTGAAACATATTTCATCTGATGAAATGAAGAGCAAAAGTTCATGCCATANCAACTCTAATCGAAATGCTTTGAAGTAACATTTAAAAAATGAATTTCTGAAACTACTGAGTGAAAACTTTTAACTAGTGACTTTAGTTGAAAACTTAAAATTCGGCTCACTAGTTAAATGTTTTCTTAAGATTATTTTCACTCTTTCTGCATCATTTTAATTTCACATAGCAATATCTTGAAACATATTTCATGGGATGAAATGAAGAGCAAAAGTTCATGCCATATCATATTAATTTTCTTTTTAGAGTCAACGTCAAAAGATCTGGCGTTAAAAAGTATGGCTATTTGAAGGAAGATGGAGTGATTGAAAAAAAGAAGGGAAAACCCTTCAACCACAAATCTTTCTTTAAAGATGTTGTGTTGGATAACTATGATGTGATCAAGCCATTCGTAGGACGAATCGGCTCAGAATACCTGGATCTCAATTTGGCTCAGGTAATTTAGTGATACTTACACGCATTATTTATGCATAATTCAGTGGAACTTTCATTTTATTTCTCGATTCTGTTCTTATCAATGCAAATAAATAGTATCTACATTTTTTAAATCTACTTATATGAATGCATGTGACAAATAGTCTTTAAACCAGCTGGAATCGTAATCTTAATTTTCAGTGGTGGCACTAAAGTAGATTAAAATCTTACAGTGTATTTTTTTATGAAATGTAAATTCTAACAAGTGATGAAGAAATAGCTAGCGACCCTATGCAAAAAGCGTAGTGCATAGAGTCCAAAAATATCTTTATAGCATTTAAAAAAACTAAATATTTCTGCAAAATTGATTTTTTTTATTTATCAAACTATATCTGTTTTTTTCGGAAATAAATCTAAACAAAAGTAAGTTTTTTTTTTAAAAAATACATAAAATGTGAGTACATATAATGTATGTACAAATAATAGAACTTATAGTCTTCGAAATTTTCAATAATTTAATAAACAAATATGTATTTTTTATTATAAATTATCACTATTTATAAATGAAGGAATTTCCTTTATAATATACTATAATTCAACATAATCAATAAGGTTCATCAATTTTTAAAACAAATCTACATCGTAAAAAGGAGAAAATGCCAGATTTCCTTTATACGCCATCAACATCAAAGTAATTCTTATAACAATTCAACGTTGATTTGAGTTTTAAAGCTTGAAATGTAAAAATTTTACGAGTTTTGGTTACGCACGAGTTTATTTCGTTAAAAAAAGTTTAATGATTTAGCCTTGCAAAATTGGAGGTTTTGTTACACTCCTTGCAATAGTAAACCTAGAAGTATGAAATCGAGTTGTGGAAATAGCATAAATATTGTTAGCCTGATCTTTGGGGGATTACCACAAAATCCTTTTAAAATTGCTCAGTGGCAGAATTATTTTCAGAAAAATTAATTGAAATTTAACAACTATGTATTATTTCCATATTATTAAGAATAAAGTTTTTAAAGCAATGATTAAGAGACTATTTCCATTCTGTATACCCCATAGGTAAAAAAAATCTACAGGAAAACTTAAAATAAAAAAATGGATATTTTAATATTTTCTTTTGTTTTTATATTTTTCTGCAATTTGAAAATTTATAATTAAGTTAATTTTAATTTTTTCAAGTAATGTAGATAGACTTCTATTTGAATTTTCTATTTTTTTTTTAAACTTACGCAGAATGACTAACTGAGTTAAACTTTTTGGGACAACTAACTACTGGCAGAGTATATGAATATGCGATATACTATTATATTACTTTTCTTTACAATTTTCATAATCTTATTCTTAACCTTGTATTTTATAAAAATTCCTCTTCAATATTCTTAATATATGATCTGTTAATACATTGAACAGCTAATTTATTTTATTTTTTACTTTCTTACAGCCAGAAAATCTGGATGCAGCATTTTCCTGCGATCCTAGTGATACTGGCAATTCTAAGATCAAAAAGGATCCAAATAATTGTCAGGACTAAATTGTCCGTAATTTGAACTTTTTGGAGATTTTAAACAAAAGCATGAAAAATGTGAAGTAAAATTTGTGTGTGATATGAGCCCCGATAAGGGTGGACTCTTTTTTTTTTGAAACTGAAAACTTTCCCGATTATGACATAAGAACTGAGAGATATTTAAGGACTATTGTGTGATATGAGCCCCTAAAAGGGTGGACTCTATTTTTGAAACTGAAAACTTTCCCGGCTATGTCATAAAAATGTAAAGATATTGAAGGACTGGTGACTACTGTGTGATATGAGCCCCTAAAAGGGTGGACTCTATTTGTGTGATATGAGACCCTAAAAAGGTGGACTCTTTTTCTTCAATACTGAAAACTTTCGCGATTGTGACATAAAAACTGAGAGATATTGAAGGATTACTGACTATTGTGTGATATGAGCCCCTAAAAGGGTGGACTCTTTATTTGAACATGAAAACTCTCCCAACATTTGCGTAAAAAACTCTCAGATTTTGAACAACTATTTATTAATGTGATATGTGTATAATAATGATAAAAAAAAATTAAAAAAAATTAAATAAAAAAAAACAAAAAAAAAAACAATGTTTTATTATTGATCTGCTTTAGGTAGTGCTTTATGTAATCTAAAATCATAACACTTTGTTTAAAAACACTTTTAAGGTTCAAAACATTCACCTTAATATTTTATACTTGTGTTAAATTCTGAAAGTTATATCCTTAAAATGTTACAAGACGGCTGTACTTTTAACGACGGCTGTAACCTTTTAAGGATATTAGCATTTTGAGGATGAACTCATTTAAACGCAGTCCTCAATCTGATGCCATGTCTTTCACCAGATTTTTTTAATCAGCATAATTGAAATCGTTGTATACATTATACATATGATACATATGTATTATGTATTACACTTTTATTATATCTGTTTTTTAGTGATAAGTGTTCTTTTACTGTTACTACGTGAAATAAGTGTTAACATATTCAGCAGGATAATTTACCACATTAATTTTTTAGAAGGAATTAAATAGAATTTAGTTTCCTGAATTTTGGTTAAAATGACATGACTGTTACATTATCTGGTAATGACATTGCAACTAGGACAGCAGACATGACATTATTAATAGGATTATTTTTTAATAATTTAAATTTGTATACTATTAAGCGCAAATAAATTTTCAAACTGGCACCAAATTTTGATAATGACCCTTACATAAGTTTTATTCCAGTACAAAAATATTTAAGGATAATCTCGCTCAAAATTAAAAAAAGAGGAATATAATATCATTGCACATGATTCAATTCGTTTAAATAAGTCAAACGCTCACAGCGAAAACGGATTATTTTCTTTATATGAAATTTCATGAATTCAACCAAACTGTTTAATAGTCCGGTAAAATTAGACTTTTCATTCGGGAAAATTTAATTCCCTAAACTCTTTCTCAGAAAGTTTTGTTGTGTTATGATAGATAATATCTAAAGAAATTCTCTCCTCTCCCCTGAACACTTCCCTCTTCTTTTGGAGGGACATGGGGGTGGTTTGAGGAGATAATTAAATTTCTTCCAGACAGGTAAGTGAAGAAATGTTTTTTTTTTCAAAACTTAATCGAATAATTCAGAGTAAAGCCACGAGTTAAAGGGGCACGAGTATACACCAGTTAAAAAAGCAAATAGCTCAAAGTGTCAAGAGCATTAATGCATAAAAAGTACTTCTTTTGTCACATGCTTACTTATAAATATAACATTGTACTATCTGAACATGTAAACTATATTCTTCGATGCATTTTCTGCTTCTAAATTGAATGAGATTCATTCAATTTAATAATGAAGGCACTCATTATCCAGTAATGTATGCAGAGGCATTTTTTGTTTAAGGAAAAGAGCGATAGATTTCAAATTCAAAATTTTTTGTGCTTCCACAAGTTTTGCTATAATGTTTAAAATTTTTATCTTTTATGAACATATTTTTACATTTTTAAATTACAAGCATAAAATTTAAAAGAAAATCTTTTTTTTTATTCTTTATTTATTACACCCATTTGACCAATTTAGTCTATAATTTGTCTTTTGTCATTTAAAATTATGCTAAAAATGCAGTAAGATTTAATTATTACGAATCAAATTTTTTTTGAAAATTTAATTTTAAAAAAATTATGAATAAAAAAAGAATTTTTTTAATGAATTTTATTTTAGTTTAACTAATTTTATACTCTGTAAAATATTTTCGTGCATATTAACGCCAAAAAATGGTGGCAACTACTTCACAAAAAAATGGTGTTAAACTGAGTTTTCCACGACCTCAAGAATGTTGCAATACACTACTTGGAGAAAAGTAGCAGCCAATACTTTTTGCATTTAGAAGAATTAAATTAATAATTACAGTAAATTAAGACACTCATAGGAGAGAATAAATGCATAATTATTCGATACAATATAAAATAAGAATCATTTATTTAGAATGCTATGTGTATTAATCTTCAGAAAATCAGCTTGTAAATTAAACATACGATTAGTAATAAAGGTTACATAAAAACGAAATGAATTGAGTTTTAACAGAACGTATGGTAATAGAAATTTTACATGTTGAAATCACTAAATAAAGTTCATAGAAATTTAAAAAATGAAATTTAATTATCCTTATTACACATTTAAACACATTACATACCTATTTTAACAACGAGCAACAAACCTATTCTATTAAATCGCGACAATTCATTAACAACAGAGTTTTGCTGACTAATTCTCGATTGCTAACTCCAACTTCTGGCGATAAAGATAAAACGCGCCAAGTCATCGGTGTATTCGAGAGGGGAAATATTTGATATTTATCTTAAATCTTTGTGAAATATTTATGGAACAAAAATTTTTAGTTTATTTTATAACTTGTGTTAAACGGCCGACCCGATTCTGAGTTTACGACTATCAATGTTCAACTGGTAATTTTGAACCTAAACCAGAAGACAAAGGAAATCCTGTATTGGACAAATTAGCTTTCATATAGGACTTTTTTATGGGACTATCTCATATTTGTGTTACGTTTAGAGGCAAACCACGAAAACTTCTTACGGTTAGCCTGACGGCAAGGTGATTTAATTCATGATCCGTTTAATACTGAAGCTATTTCATGCCTGTGCAAACCGGATGCAGATTTCGAATTGACTGGCCAACACTGGAATTCAAACCTGGGTCAGCTCATTTGAAAACGAAAGTTCTGTTAGCGTTATTGTTCAAAACTTTTGAGAAGTGCCCAAAAGTAACGTTATGATGTAAAAATTCCCCATCAAATTACAATATAAAGTACTGACAAATTTGGATGCATCATCTGTAAATTTAATTCTCAAACTAAATTTTTAGAACGTAATATTTACAATGATAGTTATTTAGCGTGAGTGATTCAGTATTTTTATGGTAAATACACTGAAGAGCCAAAAAAACTGGTATACCTGCCTAATATCGTGTAGGTCCCCCGTGAGCACGCAGAAGTGCCGCAACACGACGTGGCATGGATTCGATCAATGTGTAAAGTAGTGCTGGAGATAATTGACACAATTAATCCTCCAGGACTGTCCATAAACCAGCGGGGTTGAGAGGGGGTGGGGATATCTTCTGAACATCAAGGTTGCAAAGCATCCCAAATATGTTCAATAATGTTCTTGTCTGGGGATTTTGGTGGCCAGCGGAAGTGTCTAAATTCAGAAGAGTGCTCTTGGATCCACTCCCAGACATGAACATTATTGAACATAATTGGGATGCCCTGCAACCTTGATGTTCAGAAGATATCCCCACCCCCTCTCACCCCCGCTGGTTTATGGACAGCCCTGCAGGATTCATGGTGTCCATTATCTCCAGCACTACTTCACACATTGATCGAATCCATGCCACGTCGTGTTGTGGCACTTCTGCGTGCTTGCGAGGGGCCTACACGATATTAGGCAGGTATACTAGTTTTTTTTTGGCTCTTCAGTGTATTACAGCAAAAATTACAGTATATTAGATTTTTTGTTCCGTAACAAACCACGGTAAAAATGAATTTTAAGTTCAAAAGTATCTGCACCCTGAGTTTCGAATTTTTTTACCGTTATTTGACCCAGAATTTTTTTACCGTGTACGGGGTCAAGCAATAGACCTCTCGCTTGACTAAACCATTGATAGTGCATATCGTAACTGACCCTATATTTTTAGAGACATCTGAATCTGTCCAACAAAGTGTTTTTCTCCCCGAAAAATTGTAAGTTTTTCTGCCTCCCAGCGTTATTTCAAGAAATCACTTAAAGTCTTCGCTATTTATAAAAAATTCATCTTATAATATGATTGTAATGACAATAATTATCTGGTTTGTTGAATTCTTTCATTTCCCTCAGTACAGTACAAAAAAATGAGCATCTCCGAGAGTTCGTGGGTTCGAACCCTGTCAGCCGAAGACTCCCCGTGTAGTAAAGTAACTGATGCTCGTTAAATCTGTCGAGTCGCAAAAGTCCTCCATATTCCCATAACAAATCAACTCTGGGGGTACTGGATTGGAGGTCGGTCGTTCTCTGATTCAGGTCAAAATTACGATCTATGGATGAATGAATGGGTCCGCCCTATAAACGGGTGTGACGTATGGTGTGGCAGAAGTCAAATTCTTGGCCATAGATGGCGCCACTGGAAAACAAGAACAATCACACCCCATCTGCCTAAACAGGCATACGTCAATAACACTAACTATTTTAAAGGTTCGAAGGATTGACCTTAAATATGATAATTCATCTGTTCAGATGTTATTTTAAAAATTCAAATCAAACATAAAAACCTATTTTCTCAGAAAGAGAAAAGCATTTTTTTGTCGGTTCTTGACCTTCAAAATATAGGAGTAGCCGCAATCTAAAAATATGGTGTTAATAGTTTAGGATCAATTTGATTGAAGTTAAAGGTTTGAGCCATACAGTTTATTTTACTTTTTGCGCATCTCACTGTTTTAAAGAAGTTTTAAAGAAGTATTTTGTTCTTTTCAAGAACTCTTCCCAGGATTCTCTTCAAAATTTGTTTTTTATGATTTAACATTCCATAAGATTTCATCGGTGTTAATATTCTTGTTCTAAAACTTCGGCTCTCTCGAAGTTCCAATTCTTGTTAAGGTTACCATTTAATAAATTGTTATTATATTTTCTGTATTCTAATGAGGTCCAAAAATTAAATTGAGTTTTGAAGGTTTTTTTGCATTAGTTTTTATTGAATAAAGGGAAATAATAAGCTTTTTTATACACGGAATTATCCTTTGATAAAAATTTTCTATTATTGCGTGCAAAATTTTTTTGAGTCACTTCATTATTTCCAGAAGTATGGCGAAATTCGGTCAAAATTTGGAAATTTAGACCCAAAACATAAACAGATTTCTTGCTTAATTCATTTGGACCAAACTTTCCTGATTTTGTCGAATCTCCATCTTTTGATTACAAAAAAACTCTATCGAAAGAGAAGCAGTGTTGAACAGATTAAATACGTCATCGAAAGAAAAATTCAAGTTCTATAAGTACAG